CTTCGACCGGAATATTCGACGAATTGTGTCTCCTTTTTTTTTCCCCCTCTTCTCTTTACTTCTTCTTTCCTCTTATTGTTATTCTTCTTCCTTTTCTTCTTCTTCTTCTTTTTCTTCTTCTTCTTCTTCTTCTTCTTCTTCTTCTTCTTCTTTGACTATTTGCTTTTACCAAATCTGTCTTTCTCTGTGGAAATGTCTCTCGATCTCTCTTACAGTTTTCGACGATGGATCTTCGTCTCGCCGCGTTCTTTGCCGACTAAATGGGGCCAACCTTACGACGACGATGACGATGATGACTATGATGATGATTTACACGAAAGAAAAAGAGAGAAAGAGAGAGAGAGAGAGAGAGAGAGAGAGAGAGAATAAAAGACGAAGAAAAAGAAAGAGAGAAAAAAGGGCCAGCAAAATGAAGGGGAGAGGGCCGGGGAGAGGAGGAGGAAGAAAGAAAGAAAATAAAGAAAAATAAATTTACAATTAACTTGAGAAAGTTAATTTACAGATGTATGCGAGAAAGAGGTAAACAGTGACTAACACGTTGTTCCTATATATATATATATATACATATATATTCAGGTTAACGAGTTAGAAGAAATCATGAGAAGAAGATGAAGGAGGAAGAAGAAGAGGAAGAGAAGGAAGAAGAAGAAGAAGAAAAAGGAGAAGAAGAAGATGAAGACCGTCGTAAAACGTAAAATACGTAAATGCGACGATCCGACCGCGTCGGCGGTCGCAGCGAGACTGAACCGAGTTTGAAAGCGCTCCAGCCTGGAAACAGCTGCTCCTATCGCTGGCAGCGCCGTGTATGACTACGCTGGTCAGCCAAGGCGTGCTGCACGCCGAGAGTGCCAAGTGCATCTGTCTCCTCGAGTCTTACCATCCTCAACGCACTATCCTCCGTCCTTCTTCTTCTTCTTCTTCTTCTTTTTCTTCGTCTTCCTCTTCGTCTTCTTCTTCTTCTCATCTAGAACTCGACGATTCTCTGGTAAGTACATGACTCTCGACCCTACTGTTTTCGAACCCTTACTGATGAGAAAAACGAACGTTCTTTTTTTCTTTCTTTCTTTTTAACTTCTTTAAAAGGAGACACGAATAAATACCAAAAGATTTTTCTTCGAACGTAAATCTAATTTTTAATTTTCATATATAATTCTCTTACTCTTCCTTTCTCAAATCCGTTGTATATACATATATATATATGTGTGTGTGTGTGTGTGTGTGTGTGTGTGTGTGTGTACATGCGTGTGTATGCGTGCGTATATTAGTATATACCATATCTCTTTCTCTCTTTCTTTCTCTCGGAACGCGTAAGGTTCAATAAGTTTCTGCGTGTCTCGATAAATCATCGGTTTTTTATATACATACTACATATATTATGTATAAGAAGTGAGGTTAATTGTCCCGAGCATTAAGTAATAGCTTCACGGTCACGCATATACATACGAGTATGTATGTATGCTCTGATGTATGTATTAACGTACGTAAAAAAGATTTCAAAATGGCGTTCACCATTGACAAGATGTATTTTTCGCTAATGATATTTATTCTTCTTTATTTTTCTTTTTTTTTCTTTTTCCTCGTTTCTATTGAAAAAGGCGGAATGAATAAGGTAAATGATAACAATCGATTGATCTTACCATGATAAGCGTTTATCGTTTGATTCTGCTTCTTCTTCTTCTTTTTCTTCTTGTTATTATTATTTTTGTTTTTTTTCTTTCTTTCTTTCTTTCTTCTTATTATTCTCAAACACTGCAACATCAGCATGTCTCTATGCAGATAATAATTCTTACAGTGTTTTTTTTTCACACACATATATATATATGTATATATACATAAAGAGAAAAAAAAAGAAAATAAGATCTCCCTACGTGAGAACAATTTTAGATCTTAATAAAATCTTATCTCGTGACGGAATCGTTTCACTGGAAATAAATCCCAATAAACTCGTCGTCGTTTGTTTTCTCTTCGGATTATGATAACGATGACGTCTTTAGGAAATGTATACGATACTACAGAAGGGGGGGAGATCGACGTGTTAACTGTCGAATTAATTATCGACGCAAATCGATAGATCGAGTTTTATCATCTGCATTTTCCTTTTTTCTCTTCTTTTTTCATTTTCTTAAAAAAAAAAAAAAAAATGAGTATCATTAATAATTAATTCGAAAAAACGAGATAGTGTAGCTATGTATTTAATTTATCGGACTTATTATTAAAATATATCGATTGAAGGTTAGGCTAGAATAATTGCGCGAAATTCAAATCGCAATAGAAATTTCATGTGATTGTAAATATTTTTCTTTTCTTTTTTTTCTTTTTTTTTTCTTTTTCTTTTTTTTTTCAAAAACATAAACGTAATGAATCAATACGTGTTATATATTTGCTTTTATGATAGACTTATTAGTATATGGATTGAAGGTTAAGTTAATAAATCGCGTAAGAAAAAAAAATTCAAAACGTAATATAAATTTATGCTTAATCAATCTTTTTTTTTTTCTTTTTTTCTTTTTTTCTTTTCATTTTTCTTTTTCACAAAACAAAAATATAATCAATTATTATAATCGTTCAAACGTTTGTTTTATTATACTCATTAGTATACACTGTCAAAGTTAGATTATTAACAAGTCATATATCGTCCAACAAATTCAAATCGTAACAGAAATTGAGGCGATCAATATGAATTTAATATTTTGATAGAAAGTTTATATAGATATGTATACACTACATACGTCTATATAGATATGAGTACAATACATACGTCTGTATAGATATGTGTACACTACATACATCTATATATATATATATATATATATATATATATATATATATATACGATATATATATACGATAAAAACAAAGAGAAAAAGTATTCGTGATCGTTGTTATAAAATCGCAAGTTGATGGTTCGTCCGTCGGTTCGTACGGTAGGCAGGTCATTGCACGATAATAATATCGGGTACATCGAGCTCGAATATGTGAACGTAAAGCTTTTACGAAAATTAGTATTGGTCGGGATCGTAATGTTCGCGTTGCCTATAAAACGTTCCTACATATCCTACACCGGGTGTTTCAATAGTATATACATACGTACATATACGTGTACATGTTCTTATATATATATATATATAAAGGATATTTTATTAGCAAAATATTAAGTTGACGCTACATACATGTTTATCCTATCGTTACACTCTCACCTGGTCGAACGAATTACCACACCTGTACTATACTTCTCGAATATTACTGGTATTATCGTTCATGTGTTCACCGTAAGCGAAACTTAGATCTTTACGAGAGCTTTTGTCGTTTCTTAAACGATCGTTGAAAGTAAACGTGTGTGGTAATAAGAATTTAATAGTCTTATCAATAAAACGTTAAGGACTGAACACACGAAACGATAGCAAACATATATATATATATATATATATGTGTGTGTGTGTGTGTGTGTGTGCATGCTACTTTTTATTAGATTATTTTATCAAACAAATAAACAACAAATGATAATATCTTGAAAGTATCGTATTAATCCGAACGATACTTGAATAGTATACGATAAGGCATGAGTAAAGATTTATTTTCATTTTACCTTTTTCTTTTATTTTTTTTATCTATTTCTTTTTTTTTTTTTTTTTTTTCTTTTTTTTTTTTTTGATTACTTTATTATCCACACACATACACAAAACAAATAATTTTCAATGTCATCAAAATTATGAGCTTGAAAAAAAATTCGATCGAATTATTACGAGGACATATAAAAGTATTATCTATTCATAACATGCATATACAATATCTGTAAGTTTGTATATTTCAGATAAACATAAAAGTTTATAGTGATTTTATTTAAGATGAAACATGATGAGTCAACAATCAAGGTAAGAAAGTTTCCATTATTCTCTCGCAAACGTGCGATAGAAATTATGAGAAGGATCTTCATTGTGGATCACAAAGGACGAGATATGTTTGTGGATCGTCTTCTCTTTTGAATGGAAAAGAGCTGGTAAAGCGATCGAGTGGACACCATCGAGGAAGTTACACCTTTTTACTCGTAGACTCGATCTCCCTTTTCTGCAGGTCTTCTTCGCGTGTTCACTCTTCTTCTCTCGTGAGAAGGAAACCTTGGGAGCCCTCTTCTTCTTCTTCTTCTTCGTCTTCTTCGTCTTCTTCGTCTTCTTCGTCTTTCTCTTGGCACTTGTTCGAACGTGGAAGACCGAAGACCGAAGACCGTTTTTTAAGTGCATTCGCACTCTCGAGCACTTTCCAGCGTCATCTTAGCTGTCTTACTCAACCCGCATGCATAACTAATCCCCGTTCAAAGCTTACTATATGAATGTTGTATAGTAGATACATAAAACATTTGTTGGCTTTATTAAGAACTTAGCTTAGTAGCAATGGACATCGACCGATAACATTTCGATATTTGCGATATTGCTGAGATTAGCTCGGGTGGTCGTGGCGTTCCTTGACCAGATGATAAGTTAACAACCTTTTGCAAACTCTATCTGGAAGGAAGTTGACTTGGTCAAGAATAATCATAAACTTTGGTATCCTCTTTGTTGATCCTTCGATCAAATTCATATATGTCTATATATATATATATATCAAATAACAAATCAGTTAACTTTTTTATTATCAAAAAAACAAATTTATTATTTATTATTATATTATTAATTATTAATTTTATTATAGAACGGAGTATTAAATCTATTTTATATCTCTTTAGCTCGTATATTATATCAAAGTATCGTAAAAGTTACAAGAACGAGCATCTTAAAGATTATATATCTCTTACATATTCTTCTCTCGTAAAGTATAATATTGAGTAAGTACTTTCTATAACGTACTTTTAGTATATTTAAAGCCCCATACATTTGTCGTTTTTATTATCAATAGGCAAGGTAGTCATTCCCGTTAGGTGAGATCATTAGAACTCTGTGGATAACTCGAATGATGATAGACTGTTAAGTACGAATGTGGCTAATTTATTCGCGGTGTAAATCGTTGAAAATAGCCAATTAGAGTGTGGGGTAGGGGGGGAAGGACGAGATGGAGCACGACAATTTGAGTGGAACGTTTCATGGCGTCGCGACGCCACTTCATTGTTTTTTCTCTCATACTGGCACGCTCGTCCCAGTACAAGAACGTCGACTACAACACAACGTTGAAGTGTCTCATCAGAGTGTGATCACGTAGCTTCCCTACTATTTTCCTTTAGTATCTCTCCTTGATTGGCTATTTTTAATCGTTTATATTTAACTTGTGAAGAAGGTGATTTGAACGAATATATTCCGGAATCAACTTCTCTTTCATCAATTTTTATTTCTTGCAGTTTAATAATCTCTTTCGACAATCGACAAGATTATTTTCATAGGGAAAAAAAGGTAAATCTTTTTATAGATTCATACGTTCGTGCTCTTTTTTTCTTCTTTTTCTTTCTTTTTTTTTCTTCTCCATTAGATATGGTTATGATCATTTAGAATGATAAAAACAGGTAAATACCCTGAACACGAATTAAACGTTACCGCGTAGCTTGAAACGATCATTTGCCATGTATAATTATCTCCTGACAAATGTATCTGAGCATCGTTATTACATAGAATGCAACGATTGAGGAGGACTTATGCGTGATCAAGGAGACTTTAATTATCATAGCGCCATTGCAAGCCGTCAAAGTGGTGAAAGAGAATTTAAAAGTCCGACGATCTCTCGAACATCGTACCACATTTATTATTTTGTTAATAATTATTATAAACGTTCGTCAAATATTATCATTGGATTTAA